GGCTAGACAGAAATTCATCACTCTGAAATGAGTTTGGAACTTTGATGTCCTCAGCATAAAGAACAAAATTCTGATTTTCAATACAAATGTCAAGTCAGTCACTTCTTGTATATGGATCAGAAACATGCGATGCGCAACGAGAACCTCTGAGAACAAACCAATCAAGAATCTGTTGCTCAACAAATATTTAAGAGGAAACAACATTGATACACCACACATTGACGAGACCGTTGGGTGAAATTTTATTCCTGGCCACTGCAGTTTCATCTGTGTGAACAAGGAAATACTCTCCTCCATTACATATTCATTTGCATGGAAAATACTTATAATAATCAAACGCCTCAACCTTTATCTTTGCTACAACTACAATACTTACCACTTTATCTCAATTATAAATATAACTTTCTGTCAACCCATCGTCTAAATATTATTTGGAAACGAGATCAAGATGAAATTTTCACCCACATTCGTGTACAAAATTCATGTTGGGGATGCAATAACTACAGGTTTTGTAGTCCTACGAATGATTTGCGTTCAAGACCATTGGTACGAACTCACTTCATGATGTTGGCCCTGTTCTCATCACTACTGTTAGTCGTCACTTTCGAAATCAAATAGATGCTGTAGCATAAGCAGAAGATCACAAGGTTAAAACTGTGATGGTTTTAAATTTTCACAGTAATAGTCTAACTGAGTAACCGATAAATTCTTCTACCGCATGAAATGTCTCATTACTAGATGTGATCAGACTGTGTCAGATTAAATAAGCAGAAAAACCGATCTGAGACAGGATACTGATGGTAATGCAGTCGAACAATCTGGAAGACCAGCTTCATACAACCAACATATTTGCTCATTTGTTAACTTAACCCTCCGAGGTACGTGGTATTGATAAATGATGTATAAATGAATAATGCATGCGAATTGATGGTGCGGAGTGTCTCATCCTTCCGTCTTCATTTACGTGAGTTCTGGCAATCAGAAGTAATTGGCGAACCAATACTGGTGTCGAAATCACCAATCATCAGTCTTAATACTGACGCCAACATCAATTGCTCTTCTTTCACAACAAGTTTCGATTGAAATTATGCAAGCTAAACTGCTTAGTCGCGAGCGACAGAGAGGCATGCAGTAACAAAGTGCCAATTATTCAGGATTATTTGGATTCTGATGCCATGAAATTCAGACCATCTATCTTTTCTTCTTACCCGATTTCGAGCACTCCTTCTCAGGTACACATGTTTTGTTGAATGTGAGACAGAAATCTGAGTTAACATTTGTGACTTACTTGTCATCGAGGTGCATGCATACTTCATCAGATCTAGATTCATTACTGAACCATATCTTTTGAGGATGTGCTTGTTCAGTGTTTAGGAATCTGCAGTTAAACCACCCAGCTCACATAATACAACAACACTAAAAGCATCCAAATGATCAAAATATTCTCTTCTTTATTCTTGAATTCTTAAACGTCAGAATCCTGAGTTGTTTGACCTTGGCGGCCTGTTTGAATTTTTGGGCCTACCATCATAACATCTACATATTGCATCCAACCTACCATTTACCCCATTTATTTATCACCCGAATGTGAATTCTAAAAGGATCATTTGCTCTCGTAACTTTATCATTCATTTACGACCCAATGACTTTCATATTCCCAAGAAATCAAGGAGGAAGCATCGTAGTGGCTGGCAGAGAGCTCTTAAACGTACACCAATACACTTAACTACGGTCCCTGTCATAATGAACACTAACTGCCGCTCTCTGCCAAACAAAATAATGTACCTACAATCCTTGATGTCCACTGACACTTATCACAATACTGCGATAATCACATTACAAGAAACATGGTTACACGAACTGTACGATGACAATCTCATCTCTCTAAAGGACTTCATCCTATTTAGACAAGACCAAAAATGTGGTAATAAAAAAATGGGGGTGGAGTAGCAACTTTCATTAACTCCAAATGGTCTATTTCTAATAATGTTTGCTTCTCATTCCCAAATGACTTCATAGACTGTATCACCGTCAAATGTCGTCCCAAACATCTCCCCAAATATAAACACATCTTTATCACAAACATGTGCATTTCTCCAAGTTGCTCACTATCTAATCTTTCAAATTTTGCTGATGAATTCACCATGTTTGCTGCTGCCAACTTCGATAACTCTCTATCTGTTATTACTGGGGACTTCAACTCGTCAGATTGCTCCTTCCTTGCAGCACTTGGTCACTCTAACATTGTCAAATTTCCCACTCGACTAGACAAAACACTTGATTTCGTTTTTACAAATGACGAAGGAAACTACGAAGCACGTAAACGTGCACCGATCCTCAACTCTGATCACTCTATTGTTCGTGTTCTACCAAAAATATACAGCAAAACACATATTATAGTCTTCTCGCATCTGTCTATGAAAGCACAACAAAGATGCTACTCATCCGAAAACTTACTCAATCTAAGGTGCATGTTACAAAATACTAACTGGGATTTATTCCATGAAAGTTCATTAGATGACACAATTGTCAATATAACGGATTATCTTAAGTTTTGCCTTGATATATGCTATCCCAAACAAACACTATTCAAACGCCTCGACCGCTTCTCATCTCCTTATCTCGAACAACTTCACAGGAAAAAAGAAACTTTATACAAATCCAAAGACAAGTTAGGACTCAAAAACATTAATGCTCAAATCAAATCTGAAATCAAAAATCTTAATGCTATCTATAATGATACACTTTTACCATGTAAATCTCCAATCAGCATGTGGAAACTTTTCAATTAAATTGCTGGTAATAGTAAGCGTTGTAATGCTTTTCCCTCTTATGATGTTAATGCTCTTAATCAGTCTTTTATACGCTGTCCTTCTACTTCAACTACTTCTAATGTGACCTATAATGTAGCTGAAAACTTTCATGACTTTAATACTCTCGATGTTCTAAAATGTCTTAAAACACTCAAGCCCTCACGTAGTCTTGGTCTTGATGGTATACCTGCCTATGTTCTAAAACAATGTGCAGATGTGTTGTGTTCTCCACTAACCAACATCCTAAATGCTTCTTTCTCCAAAAATATCGTACCTGGTGCATGGAAAGACATCAGAATTGTCCCTGTCCCTAAACCTGGAAACAGCAAGAACGTAAAGTTCAGACCCATTGCCATCACTTTCCCGTTTCTAAAGCTTATGGAAAAACTAATACTTCTTAAACTTGAACCCTCCCTTAAAAACTTCAAAGACCCCAAACAATTCGCCTATAGACAGGGTAGGAGTACATTAGACGCTGCAGCTGTCTTACACAACAACATCGTCTCATCATTAGATAAAGGCGCCAAATACGTCCACTGCACGTTCCTTGACTTCACTTCTACTTTTGACTCTGCACCTAGATGTCTCCTGCTAAATAAGCTCTCTTTGACAAAAACTGGGACCTGGGTCACTAACTGGTTGCATTCCTACTTCTCTAACAGAAAGCAGTACACCGTATACAAAGGTAAATCATCCTCTGCTGTACTCACTGAAGCCGGAGTCCCCCAAGGCGCTGTCCTCTCCCCACTTCTCTTTTCTTTCTTTCTACATGACTTACCGTCTTCAAATGACAATAATTTTGTCAAATATGCTGACGACCTGACAGTATCTTTGCCTATCAAATGTCAAAGCAACTGCTCTAAACTTAATGGCTTTCTGTCAGAAATCAGCCAGTGGTCCAAGGAAAATGGTCTTACCCCAAACCCCTCCAAATGCCAAACAGTCAATTTCACCTTTAGGCATAAATCCGGCCGAAACAAACTGTTTGGCTCTCACGAGGTATGCAACATAGACGGCACTGAAATAGAAACTAAATCGGAAATTAAATACCTAGGTGTCATTCTATCTGCTGATCTCTCCTGGTCGTCTCATATCTTAGCAATTTCTAAGAAAATATTCCGTCTTACCTTCTGCATTAAGAAGTTAAAACACTCTGGTATTACCCAACCCTTACTCCTACAATTCGTTAATTCTCGCATCCTGCCTATTATTCTCTATTGTTCCCCCTTAGTTTTTCCTGGGCTACTGAAGAAAGACTATAACATTTTACGCAGGATGTTAAATGTTGTTAGCAGGGTAAGCAACGTGCCACTTAACCAGCTTGCTAATACTCTGGTTGACAGGCACATGGACTCATGTGAAAAATGGGCTAAGTCCATTTTATCTAACTCACACCACCCTCTTCACTCACAACTCTCCCCCTGCATCTCATCAGGGGAAACCAGAAGCCAATATAGAAAACTATATGCTCGCACCAGCAAGTCCAAAAACTCAACCATACCCTACTTGGCTCGTGTTCTGTGTGATAAAGAAAGCATTAGGCGTGACACCTATAATTCATTAAATAGTCAGTAGTACAAGTGGATCTCGTCTTTCCAACTCACATCATTTATAGGTACAACATTTTCTTTCTTTCTTTTCCTTTTCTCTCTCTTCTTTTTCCGTTATGAACTGCTTTGTTTCTTTCTCTAGCTTACGCCAGTTAATAAGACAGCTCCCACTTTTCTAACACCTTCAAACACTGTTTCAGCTTTACCTTTGCTACTGACATGCCAATGTGTTGTTGTAATAATGAACTGTGGTTTTCTCAATCTATGTAGAATTCTATTTATTGATAATGTACTAACTGGATGCAATACTGTAGTAAAAATGCTGAGAATTCCATTCTGTATCACATGTACTGTTTTGGAATAAAGCAAATTATTATTATTATTATTATTATTATTGTTACCTATATCACCGCATACTGTGTAATTTCAAATTACCAACCGTTTAACACTGGTAAATGACAAATAAGTTCGAAATTAAGCAAATCCAATAGACAGTGTCAACACATAAGTTTGGTTAATGGCACCATTCCTATTAAAAGCATACGGTAAACCAACTAACCTCCAAATTCTCTGATATCCTGTTCGTAGTATTTTATCCAATCATATTCGTTATGTAGCTCAGTTAAATCCCAACCACCAGAAACTATGACGTTGAATTTTTTTCCAGTAGCCTTTCTGGCATATTCTTTCCAGCTGAATCTTTGCCAAGCATGAATGACTGTGTTTTTGTCACCCTATAAGATGGAATCAAACATTTGTGCAATTACTGGTTGTTTGTTGAACGAATACAAATATCTTATAATGAGAGAAATTTACGATCAGATGGTAATCTAGAAAGTGAGAGACACCTTATTCAAAGGATGAGAGATTTCAATTATACAGTGGTTATTATGAGCAATGCCAAAGCTATCTGAGATGTCCAAAGCCTTTCTTTGAGGACGTGTTAGGTGTTTGTCTATCTTTAATGGGAAAATAAATAGTCGGATCGTTTTCCGATAACTGAAAGATGCAGTCAACTAGCTACTGTTCTATTTTCAACTCTAAGGTATTTGAATTTTTGGAAAAAGTATGTCATTCCTGGATTCGTCACTTCAGAGTAACCAATGTCTTACGTGTGATCCTTGGAGTTGGCACTGACTGATTTCTTTTAATCAAGATTGCAGCGCGATCGCCAAGCTAGATAAAGACTTATAAAATGGGCAATGAGAACTTGGTTTTCTTCAATCTGAAAATAAAGGTAGGCAGAACACTTGTCATCCTTGACAGTAATGTCTTCGGGAAATTAGCACACTTTAACAGCTATCCTAACTCCAGATCAATCAATTTCCACGTAATATTATAGCAGATTGAACAAACGGCTTTGTTAATACAAATGACGGTCAAGTCAATACATCGGAGCATTTCTATATGTTTAACATGAAGTTTAAGTGAGCTACTAAAATTTGGTTTCAAGAATCCTCTAGAACCAAAAAATATGCGCTTTTTATTATAGCTTGATCCCATACACTATTTTGACACAACTATAGACTTTTCAGCACGAGTTATCTATCGGTTACCGTAATGTAGCAGGTCAACTATTGATATCAAGTGTACATCAAGCGGTGATTGAAATTTTTCCTCGTGAATGGGTGGTGAGCATCCTGGTCACTGTACCACCAACGCATAATGGCAGAGATGAAATAAATAGCGTTTCCGTATTATTTATATTAGTGAAAAACGTGAAGCGTATTTCATCTTCTTTGAGTCTCGTCGACTAAATGCATCCCCACTCCATTCAATAATATCACAACCAGTGTGACTAAGACTAAGGCATTAACACGTGGTGTCATCTAAGAGCTTAAATGTCTTAGAAAACCAACCGAAGTCTCACAGCAAGTAGGAAATCCTGAATCGCTGAATACATGGAACTATCTCTGGTTGCTTACTAATTTATGTGCCACAATGGAACCCAATAACTCAACTCAGCGAGTGTAATGCTAAGAGTTTAGAGTCAAGTCCAAAGATTAATTTATTCTGTTTGGGTCAGTCAAGTTTTCAGAACATGACAATTAAGCCTGAGTTATCGTACTTAACACTTTGTATAACTTTCTCGAGAAAATATTAGTTTAAATGAAGTTTCAGCAGCACTGACTGACGCCAGACTCATGATGAACTTTCTGCTTGCGCTATCTGTCCACAGTGTGACATTTGTGCTACCAACTCAAATTCTGGATGGGTTCTTGTCCGTTACTGTCTGCATGTGCCCGTAGACGTCGTCCTTCTGTGTTGCTTTTAGGTACATATCACTGTATAACTGCAATTTATCTTCTTTTTGATTTGAATCTTGCAGTCACCTTCTTTCAGAAGATCAGTGTGCAGCTCATGAACGCTTTCTATGTTGTCAGTATTACCATGATTGAAAACACTCTCAATGTATTTGTTGTCGTCTGAGTGGTTGGACTAGATTATTAACTCTACAGCTGTGAATTTGGAGATCTCAATTCCATTTCACCTGTGTTCACAGATTCCTAACAGTGTCATAACACACCTGTTTCAATCTGTGTTCTGAGCAACCTCGGACAGGGTGAGAACACTTGGTGTCCTCATGCTTATTCTCGAAAGGTGACACTCAATTTGAGTGGCTTAGTGAAGGCTTCCAAAGACAAACACAGTCCATCCTAGAAATTTTCTATTTTCCAGCAAGGAATGAGTTTATTTTTCATATTTTTCTGTACATCCAATTATCGTAGTGATGGGTTAATTTTTTAAAGAGTAAGCTTTCCAGCCTAACAGTCAACCTTCCTCTTTTTAAATGTTAAGAAGTGGCTGATAAGCCAGAAATCCAGTTCACCATTCACGGTTGATCATCGAGTCGCTATCCATGAAACTAACCGACACCGGAGAAGTCCAATAGATATAATACAACATCAATAACAGGAATATCAGAAATATCCCCACCATTGAGATCATAATATGAGAAAGAGTCACCGTGAACAAACAAGGCTATAAAGTTATGCTAATACTCTAAAATGTTTATGAACAATAGGCGTTTAGTTAACTACAATCCACCTTGTGAAATAAACACATCTGATTGTGTTGTGTGTGTGTGGATAAAACAATTATTACAAAACACATTTCTCAACACTTACCTGATATCCGTATTCTAAAACATCTTGATATAAAATAGGTGTAATCGAAGGATTTCGGTCAGCAACACTTTTGACAATGTCGACAACTTTCGACACGTAATAATTTAATAACTGGGAAGAATTATGAGGGAATCCCATTTTTTGCTTGAATTCAACTATGTCTGGATTCGAAATCCTAAAGAAAAGAACACAGAAACACAATAAGGTGGATTTTCCCTCGTTCTTCGTCAGTGATTTTTAGAAACCAATTTTTCTATCAAAATAGTTATCCAAATTACTGACTGATAGCTTGGATTAATGCGGAAAATATCTTTCGACAAACTAACTTGATATAGAAATACCGAGAAAGATTGGAGGAAAAACACAATCCAAGGTGTTTTACATCCAACTTAGTTTCAACTTCTTTGAGATCTATGGAACCAGAATCATGGAAACGAACTAGTTCATGTAAGTTGTGCTAGTGTCTGAAAGTGAAGTGATATCCTCCTAGTGAAGTCGTGTATGACATTCAGCTAACAAATAATGTGGCATAATTCTCTTATGCAGCTGAGTCGCAAGTTATGCCATCAACAGGAATGAAATGTTTCACAATCTATTTATGATATTATTTGGAAGGATATCATATGAATAAGTTAGTTAAAATGATACCGTCACATCTGTTTTGATGCATGACAGGTCTTGATCAATAAGTAGTATAGATATGAATCACTAATCTTCATACGTAATTTATGATCCTCATTATGTGTATCTTGTAAGATAAAATATGTTTATGTTTGATTAGACACTAGTAACTCGTGTGTCGTTTTATTTATGTTTTATTGAAACTGTCGGAGGTTTTATTAGAGATATGTGTAACTGAAGACTTCAAGTAAAACATTAATGACTCACAATTGCCACCGACATTAACGTCGTTTCATTTTATTCGAAATATGCTGACAAATGATCTGTAATTGTTCAGATTCGCTTACTAGAACCAGTTCATCATGAATTTTATTCAAACAGTTTTATTGAAGGCTGATACAAAACCCTGCATACACTGTTCACGGTGTATAACACATTCAGGCTAATAATAAGTCTTGTGAACTATTCTGTCATATGCCATTCACAATGCATACAGTATTGTTTTTGATGACTAATGATGACTCAGAGATGATTGAACGAGAATTGTACAGACAAACTGTTCGCTTTATATATACCTTTATTATTTTAAATTCAACTATTTTCCTGAAGGGGTACGGAAGTGTCTGGCGAAGAAAACATGAGAATCATTCATTTCAACCTGGCTGAGATTCAAACAAATACAAATTTTAAGTAGTGATAAAATGTGCTAGATGAGGCGAATTCAACCTCCATTCATCTGAAGCAAGAAAACATTTTCCGTCAGAATTCTTTGAGAATTTTGGGATGTCCTAACGCGTCTAATCAATGAACTGTGACATAAAATATGCGTAAACTCACCAACAGGCAAAATCTATATCATCTCCTCCAAGATGAATATAATTATCATGAAATCGGCTGGTGACTTCTGTAAACAGATTCTTCAAAAACTCAAATGTAGAATCGTTGGCTGGATTCATTGGACCCAATTGTCCAGTTGGCTTAGAGTCTTGATAACATTTTGTTAGTAAGTCTGGAAATGCTTTTCCCCATGACAATGTATGCGCTGCAAGGAAGTATTTTGACAATCAGTGAAGGTCATTTTGACAGCTTTTAGAAGTGTCCGTTAAAATTTTCAAAAGAATGGTTACTGAACAAAGAATACTGTTTTCGATAACTTCATCATCAGGCTCTACATGTATGGATACATAAAAGTAGTGAATTAATTGTTGTTATGAACAACAATAATGTTTAAATAAGGGCGAACCGGCCGTTGCTCTAGGAACTTGAGCTGCATGGATTCATTCAATGATATTACCTATGAATTTCAAAGCAGTCATCAACCACTTGAAAGTTTTACTGACACTTCAACTAATTACATTCAAGCTATTCGCCTTTCGAATTCTTCATCACGTTTTCTGATTTATGTGAAGCAATTGAAAAAGAATAAATAGAACCGTAAACCCGCAATGATTCGAATAAAACTGTGGTCTTTTATTCACAGAGTACCGATAAAGGCTTTCGTCGAATAAGAAACTCTCATGCAACTCAGGACTAATGCGCTTCATCACCTCATTGAGTTAATATACCTGAAAATATAATATCATGAACAATCTGCATTGCAGTTTCAAACCTAGTGCCTCTGCCTGACTCATGGTCCTAAGTTGCATTCGTGGCATTTTTTCGAGAACATTATCACACTGACACAAATATTTACATAATATCATTTCATGTGGGCACAATTGGTGGATAATTACATCATACCAAATATCTTCAAACTTATTTACCTGGAGTATCAAACTCTGGAATGATCCGGACTCCACGGAGACGAGCGTATTCCAATAAATCAGACACTTCTATTTCATCATATGTACACCTTTGTGGATGATATGCACCCTGTTGATATTGACACGAGAATCGGAATTGTTAAACGCTCAATATCGACTCAACTTACCTTGTGTGACAGTTCTGGATAGGTGGTTGAGACAAAAGGAAACGATTCGTCATCAGTGATGTGCCAATGAAACACATTCATTTTAACCATAGCCATGATATCCTGAAAACAGAAAATACTATGATGAACACCACAACTCCTATTATTGTCTTCTGAACAGTTTCAATGGGCATGAAGTTCCTTCCGGTATAGAAGAGCATCCCACGATGTAAGAATAATGGTTCATCTTCCACAGAACCCTTAAATATTATATTCTAGATGAAATATATTGATGAAGTCAAGTTGTCGACAAAAACAAAACTAACCCCTCTAAATTCATCCTTGTACACCATCTGAAGTACAGTTTCAAGGGCACGTAGTGCACCCGAAACCTCTTTCGAACTTATCGAGATTTCTGTATCTTCAATGTTCACGTTATCTGCAAAGTGGTGAATGAAATACTTCTTGTGTTGTGTGTGACTCACATGATTCGTTCATTATATCACTCGGCCACAGTTTATCTGCAATTTCGTCACATTCATCCATGATTTCAATTTTCAGTTTGTTTATGATACATTTGTCTTTGCTTTCTGGAGGAATTGGCGGGTGCTGTGATGCTAGATGGAGACGAAATCTTCTCAGTGCGTCTGTGAGTATAAAGCATGTTGGGTAGTTGTGTTCGTAGGTGAGTGTTTGCATCAGGTTGCAGGCTGTTGAATCTTTGTTGTAAACTGTTGGTTTTGGGACTATAGCGAGAGTGCGCCGACTTGCATTATTGAGGAGCAACAGAACCACGAACAACGCAGAATAACAGATCATGATTACGTTTTGTTTCTCAGCAGAGTATTTCTCACTCAAATCTCATCAAGTTTTGTACTAATTTCGAATTGGATTTTGAACTCATTCGACATCTGATGAGAAAAATATCATCCAACCAAATTAGCGTATCACCTAATTGCTTGTTTGTGGGTTGTGTATTATTGGAATTTAGAAAACTATGATGACTTGTATAAACAATTTCTGGAAAATACAAACATTACGAAGACTGAAGACGAGTCAGTGAGTGTTCTCATATAAAGTGGAACTTTTCAAAATAGAATTCGCGTGTTCTATGTATATACGTGTCAGGCATTCACCATCCAACTTCCACGGCATCACTTTATTTCAGAGAACTATGGAGTAACTGCAAAAAATATCTGCTTTCCAGTAAAGGCCAGTCTTGATGCATCTTTCACTGTACCAGAATTAATATAGGGCTAAAACTGCATGAGTTTAGTTATGAATGGACAAACTTCTGCCCGACTCGAGGGTGCTTTAGATTTTTGAACTTATATTACGGTGTGTTTTGTCGACCAGGCTTGGACGCTATTTTACACATTTCTTCGATCTGGTAACATATACGAAGCTAGAGTTTATAGTTCAGCCACAATGGTTAAAAAAGTTCCTGAAAGCTTCTCTCGAAGTTATTGTGACGTTGTCTTCTAAACAAGTCGTTCTGCAGAACATTTTCTTAAACAGCCAAACCTTTTTATTCAACTTTTGTTAATAGCAGTTGCAGGTTTGGTAAAGTACAGATTAAATTGTGACATTATTACATTCTATATAGTAAGGTTTGTATAGTGTGAAATGTTGACCACACAACCTGTCAATTACAACTCATGAGTCCGTGCCATATCTGCAGTTTGGTTTATCAATACTTTCAGTTATTTACTGGTTGTAGTTTGCTTTGTTTTCTCGTGGCAGATTGTTACTATTTTTTCATTAATTTTTCTGCTTGATTAATTTTATAATTGTGGCATTTTAATGTATGTTCTCATCATAACGTACCACACTGAATGCTGAAATCAACTTTCTTGTGCAGATTGTAGTTACCACAACACCTTCTGGACACACCGAACATTCGTAGGGTTCGCTCATGCGGAAATGTGTTTCACCCTTTGTCTTAGGTGTCACTTAGTTATTGTGAGGCTTCCTGAAAATATTATCGACGATAAGTGTGAGGTCATCGCCTATCCATCTTCAAAACTTCAGGATCGTTTCAAAGCTGCTCTGATAAAAAGAGTTGTGCCTATACGTCAGTAGTAGGTGCGACAATTCTCCCAAGACCTACATTTTAGTGATTTCAGTCTTACTCAAATACTTCATTAGATGTAACAGCTAGTCAATGAAATAAAAGTTGACGATGCATGGAGAATCCTATCAGTCTTTCGAAATTCACTTTGATAAAGTTGGGAGAGGAAGAAGACGGAACTGCAGAGGCTATTAAGGCTTAAACGAGCATTTTGACCACACTATTTAGTAGTTATTGTTGTCACAAGGATCTCTGTCCTCTCTTACCTGATGAGTCGTCGAGTTTTGACTCGGCGGCCCATGTAAATAAAATTTATCAAATGCGTAGTATTATAAAGGGGATGAGAGCGAGAAATTTGTCGAATGATTCCACATTTATCTGTTGTAGCACATATCTCTGACTTATTGGGAATCTGCGATCCTGTTTAAGAAACTGTCAATATTGTGGTGCTCTTATATGAAACACGATGTGCTGCCCCTACCAAAATGTACACTCGTCCTTGCATTTTTGACATCATTCAGGATACATGTGGGAAGGCATATATTGATGACTGACATTACTTGAGGATTGAAACAGAGACTGTTGTTATGCAATATTGAGTGGAAGAGCGTTCTCAGCCAATAGCTTAAGTGTCGGACGAAATTTTCACTTTGAAATTTTCCGTAATTGCGTTACACAGTTCGTTCATTGTTTGAGTCCAGAATTACGTTTCTAGTGTGTATAATGCTAAATTGATCTTCAGGAATGACTCTAAGAATAACCACTCTACTACTTGTACCCTGAGACGATTGATGGCAGTCTGTTACTTACCTACGTTTAGGAAACGTAGTTATGTTGAGGTAGGCTAACTCTTGCAATTTTCAATCTTCTCGTTAAAAGTAGGGTAATGCAAGGCGTCTACTTGTGTTCAGTTCCTGGAGGTCGAAGTAATTATTGAAGTAGTCAGAATTAAATCCGTTCAGGTCTACATTAATTTTTTATTAGATAAATCACATAGTGAGTGAAATAGTATTATTTACTGAATGAAAAAGTTTCGAGCACAATTTATTGTGGTTTATAATCATATCAGTTATAATCACACGACTTCAAAACTTGAGTTCTATAGTTTTCTTTGTTCTTTCCATTTGTCGTAGGAGTATTAGAGTTTTCTAGAAACCAGCAGACAAAAATTGCAGTACTACCACTTTCAAACACTCGTTCACTTCCAATCACCGAAGGTACGCTAAGTAGGGCCCAGTTAGTACTTGATGAAAAGGTGACTCGATGGGAATGCCAGGTGTAGCTGACCTTTAAAAATAGTGAAAATTCTACATTGCTGTTAAAGCGCTGTTTGGAATAGAAAAGTCACCCCATATGGTGTTGTAAGGCACTTCTAAGAGAAATACCAGAGGTGCTTTCTTAGCCAAATTGCCACTTCACTGTTTTGCCTCAAGAAAATAGCCCTTCAACTGACAAATACTCAATGTCGATGAGTGACTGAATAGCCCGAGTTACTAATGAAGCAAACAGGCTATTCCACATAGACAATGAAGTAGTGGTTGTGAGACATCAGAGAAGATGTCAGTCAGTTGAGTGACGGTGAGAATCTGATTACACGGTAACTGACATCTTAAGTGAAAAAGGGTATACGTCTGTGTCTCAGTTAGGAATTGTTTCAATTATGCAACCGTCAGAGCGACATTGACCTCATCTTAACTGCCGGTGAGTAGGTCGGGAATGCATGTGTATAATCAAGAAATACCATGGAGGAACTGATAGATTAATTGTTAGAATGCTTGAGAGGCGTTTATTAATTGAAAAGATACAAGGATGAGTTCATTTTAGTCGAACAGAATAGTTATGGTTATTTTAAGAATCACAACTGTGTGAATACCAGTATATTGGTGGATCCAATTAAATTTGGTTATCTGGCATCTTTAAAAATCTGTTGATTTTGCCACGGTGTTACCGTTGTATTTCCCAGAGTCTCCTTTATGAGGATCCGGAAACCAAAAACATTTAGATAACGACGCTCGTTAGTAACAGCCTGTATTCTAGCAAGCGTCTGTAGGTTAAGTCGAGT